CATACTTCCGGCATCCCTGCCAGCGCTTGCTTCACTCCTAGAAGCTGACGCCGGTTTCACCGCACATGCTTTTATGCTTTCTGGTCGCTACGTCACCCCGCCCGTGACGTCTCACCCATCCATTGGAATGATTACACATGTGATTCAGAGCGTGGTCACGCTGAAGGCGTTCTCATAGCGTTTCGACACAGCTCGAGTTCCTGAAGGGGAACATCTGTTTTGGCCAATAAAAACTGTAATTAACAGAAGACAGACAAAATAGAATTATAGACTATTGATAATAGAGCTCAATAATGGGTTTCCCTCATTTGCAGAGCTCGGTGGAGGCAAAAGTCACCTGATTTTTCAAGGGGAAAAAACTAACCTTGCTGAAAAACAAGCTGCAAAATTTGATGTGAAGAAATTCACTGAGGGTGTATGTAAGGATTTGAGTCGTTTGTTCAGTTCGGAGTCTTTTGGTAAGCTGAATTGTCTGTACAATTGATTTGTAGTGTACTTATTTTTTGATTTTCTATCCAGATTAATGCATAAACTGAGAAGTGCTTTACTCGAAGATTCAATAAAGAATTCGCAACAAAACAGGTTTTAGCAGACTGATGACATAGAAGAACCTTTGCTTTAGACAACCAATTAAGTATGATTATGGCCAAATTAATAAATAAATAAAAATAATAATAATAATCATGAATATTTAAAGGGGCAGTTCACCCAAAAATGAAAATCTGTCTTAATTTAATCACCCTTGCACACCCATAAGACTTTCATTTATCTTCTAAGCACAAATGAAGATAATTTTAATAAAAGCTGTGATATTTCTGTCCCTCTTTAAAAGTCTGTTAACCCAAAACTTTGACACTTCAAAACATTCATAAAGAACTGTAAAAAAAAAAAAAAAAACACGCCACACATTTGTCTCAATTATCGTATTTTCATAATCATTGAAAGCTGAAATTGAAACTAAAATTTGATTAATCACACAGCCCTATTTTAAAGCATAGAGATAATAAAACATCAAAAATCATCTCCAAAGAATCATATAGTCAACTGAAAAACAATATACAGAAATTAAAAAATATCATAAATGAAGAATCATTTACTAAATTTAAGAACCACTGTGTATTTGTATTTCAGATCTTGTCTTGAGCATTTGTATATGCATGGCTCAGTGGATCTGGGGCAGGAATTATAACTTCCTCCACAAAATGACAGGTGAGAACAGACCTGCTATTAACTAGAAATTCAATGTGAATAATATAATATGCAGACTAATTTCATGTTTTGGTCCCTCAGATGAAACCGTGCCTTCTACTCTTCTGGAAAGTGAGAGGAGAGACTATGAAGACGCCGGACTGTTGCTGAACTCACCCTACTTCTCAGTGCTGAGAGAAGAAAGACACATTGACCTCATCATTTCCCTGGATTTCAGTGAAGGCGATCCTTTCATGGTATTATACACATTTATAAGATGACATACTCTAATAAAAGTTAAAACCAGTTAAACTCTGCGGACCCGGATACGGGTCCAAAATGACGTTAAAAATGTTTATGCTTTTTATGCTTAGCCTTCCTTATATGGTATCAGCCCATATATGGGTTCATTTGAAAGCTTGGAGTGTAGGCGAAAATACCAAAAAACGCCCTGAGCTTAAGTGGTTGGTTTAGTTCACTCCCCAGTGAAAACTCTCCCCAGTTCCAAGCCCACAAGACTTTGGTTCATCTCTGGAACATATATGAAGATAATTTTAATGAAATCTGAGAGAATTTGATCCCTCTGTTGAAAGTCTGTTCACCCAAATCTCTGACGCTATGCTTCAAAATGTTCACAAATAGATCATAAAATAAGTCCATATGATTTCAAATTGTTAAATCAAAGTCACTTTACATGATGAAGAGATTAATTTCAGCCAATCTCTTTAAACACATTTTGATGCATCAGAGTTTTGTGACATTCAGTTTATCTCCAGATTTAAAGGAAGATTGTGCTCTTCAGCTGCTTGTTATTTAGAAAAGCATTCAAAGTTTCATTCGCAGTTTAAGCATTCTGTCATGGAGCAGTAAGGGAGCACCGTGGAAAAACAGGGTCTGGGTCCAAATGCAGGT